TAAAATAATGTTTTGCAAAGTATGTAAGGAGTCAATGCCATTTGGTGTCCTATGTTAGTATACAAATAGTGATGTAAAAAGACTACAATAATCGTTTCTAAATTGCTATATAACCAAAACAAATGATAAAGTATAAAAAAAGCGTAATTTTTATTGTCAAACCTTGTTCGTGATTTTTCAAATATTCCATCATATTTGTACTTTTCCACTGCCAATATAAAATTATTTCGTTTTAAAATTAAATATCAAAAATCATATTTCTGTTAAAACTATATCCAGCTCTTATCCACTTTCCCTCATAAGAGTCATTAAAAGACATCTGTAAAGCAGACGACATAAAGAAATACCTTGATTACACTATTGCTAACCATTTTATACTATCGCAGTGGAATCTCGGAAGTGGTATTGGATAATTGATAGTGAGAAAAACAGATTGCAAGGTTCACATACAACAGCATGGGTTTTGCAAGTATCGGGTGCCGGTTTAAAAAGGAATGTCAGATAGAACATGAATGCCCAAGAGAATGATTAAAGTTAATACTGAAGATACGGTTAGATAAGAAATATTACTGCTAAATTAGTTCGTACATTTAAACGTTTTCCCGTGACATTTACAATTATATGATGTTTACATCGGCATACTTCTATTTGTTAGGTAAAGTATTCGTACATTGATAAATGTAAAAATATTGATAAAATCTATTGAGCATTATATTTATGATGTAAAACCAAAAACAAATGCGTTACAGGATCTTTAATATTGGTTTTGTTGTGCAAAAACATGAAAAAAGATCATTCTGTCTTCGAAATATTTTAAAATATCAAAGCATTTTAACAAATAAGGGAAGCAAAATCATGAAATACTTAAGACCTATACCGATTTAAAAACAAGGTGATGATTATATTTCTTGTATTTTAATCCTTTTTTGTTGAATAACAACGTTTAGTTATTGCTAAAAGTTCAATCCTTTAAAGATGAAGATGATTTATCTACGTTAACACTGAAGTTACATAATTATTCAGTGTGTTCTACGGATACATTAATTAGGTTAACAAAGAGAATATGAAACCAAATGTCCATTATTTTATCACTTCAGATCAAATTTACAAGACACGCTGACCTTCCATTGCCTCATTTTATAAGAGAAAGCTGATAAGACTACGGGATTCCATGGTAACAATGTTACACTGTAACATTATATCTAATTCTAACACACCGCACGTCCAGTAATGGGAATGATCAGTCAATGAAATGAATGATGTATCTTAGTATAATTTCTTGCCTTATCATGTCCTTTAGTGAGAATTATATATCTAGAAAGAGCAAGGACAACAGCTTAACCCGTATTCAATCCTCAACAATCAATTATCCCGAAGGACTAGAAAAATAATAACTCGAAGCATACATTTTACAGCTGCCACACAACAATTGTCACCAGCTGTTTTGAGCATTAAAATGCTGAAAAAAGGGAAGACAGCAAACCAAAAACCTATTTCGCTCACCCAAAGTAAGTCTACAAGGTATCCAGTAGTTATGCATGACTTATGTTGGCAACTGAATTGCATAATGTTTTGTTTGTTTCTTTGGGTGATAAAAGGATTCGTATTCGTATTTCTTGCAAAAGTAATTTGTTAATGAAATAGTAATTTCAATGACAACGTATTTAAAGACATTAAAGAAACATGTTTGATTAAGTTGTAATTTTTAAAATAACAAAAGTTTGAAAAACAGCATTGTTTACAGTACTTTTCAATTTGAATTTTTCCATTCGGTGTAAAGGCAAAGACATGTAAAGACAGGTTAATACACACTGTTACATAGCCCAATCTTGTCAATAACATAATTATTTTAACGATGTAACAAAGCCTAATTACAAGACCATATACTTGTTTGTTTATCAAATAACCTTAATAATTATGCCATAAACAACATAATTATGTTTAAATAACGATGAAAATCAATATTTGCTATTTATAACACTACTTACTGTGTTTTCCAGGGAGACATAAATGTTTTAATATAACGTTAAAATAATCACTGATGTTTTTATAACTGCATGCTCTTATGATGGTCAATTGATAAATAACAATATGTGTGACAAATATATTTTGTAAAATAGTTTTCTTGTGATGTAAACGTTCTATTTTAAGGTCAGTCCAGATACAGATGTTATTCAGTGTTACAAGCGCAATTTCGAAAAAAAAATATGGATAACAATTTATCACATAAACTGAAAGGCTCCTGTTACCGACAGTTCATTTGTTTTCTGTGTAATCAAATAGCATATGATAGTATGATTATATTAACAATTAACGGTATGTCAACAGTGCCCTTGTCTAATTGAAAACAATATATTTATAGATCAAATGAAATAGAAAAAATAAAATAATAGAAAATTAACTTATTTTCAACCGTCTTTTATTAGATTAATTTAATAGATTGCAATGTTCATACTTTAAGTAAGTTCATATTGGCAATCATAAAAGTGAAGAAATACAATACTGCTTATATCATATAAATGTATCATATCAATGTGATGATGGGAAATAAGTTTATTTTATTGTAATATCTTATAGAACACATAATTACGATGGACAAACAAAATTGATATGATAAACATATAGCTCCAGCAGGTAAGGTGCTTTGATGTTTGAAAAGCCCAAGATTTGCCAAAATCATCTTTCTTGTTTCGGCGCCATATGACCTATACTGTGTTAGTGAGCCGTAAAACCAAGCAAATCAAGCAAACATGAAAGCAGACCAAACCATTGACTCAGCATGCATTTAATAAAAAAATATGTTGCTATTGAATGTCATTGAATTTGTGGTTTATGTAAAAGACTTATTTAAGGAACTCTAATATGCCATATCATAACTACATTCACAAACTGTTAAAGGCTAAGACATGCTTTTTTTATTCATTGCGCGTATTATAATGCTTAAGTTTAAAACTACAAACAATTGACCACAATAGATCTACTGATTTAACCTTATATATTTATGTTAATAATGCTACATATGGCGGGTACAAATAAAAAGTAAAAACGTTCATCCTAATCACCGTGTCAAATATACACTAACAGTTCAAACGTAGCATGTGTAAGGGTAGTGATAAAGTAAGTTCAATGTAGGAAATCGTTCAATTCAAGTGTATCAACTTCTGAAGCCTTATAATTTAAAGTAATACGCATATTTGCGTTTCAAAAATGTGTCGATACAATTTAAGGTCTATTTAATAATCACGGTTCAACAACTCCAAATGTGTTGTCATAAAATGTAAGTGCTCACTTTAAACTACGTTGAAATAGCTTTTATTATTATGTCATGTTTTTTTTTAAAACAAAACACCTGGTATATCCCTATTATATATAGACGAAAAGCAAACGTATAGACGAAAAGCAAACGTTTAAAGTCATGTTTATAGTTCTACCGAAAAATATTTATTAAGATGTTCTTGTTACTATGGGCAGATATTGAGTCAATTAAACAGTTCAATTGGTATTTTAGTATGCCTTCCTAGTTTCCGAAGCTTTGAAATAAACTGATCTGCGTCCACAATGCTCGAGGGTTTAATTAATGTAATCAAACACGTAAATGTCATCTATTAGGGATACACTGCTTTTTTATTGATTGATAATTGATAAAAAAAAAACAGTTATGATGAATCAGTTGTCACTGAGCATTAGTCTAACTATATTATTGAAACTGTTTTAATGTTTAGGAATAAAATACGTAACCATAACTTAACCTCTTATTTTGAGATATTTACATTTTGCATATCTAATTGTACGCATTCTATTTTGATTTGTTGAACATTTTAAGCTAGTCAATATTATGTTACACGTGTTTAAATGAGTTTAAATTTAACCTCCTTTTCTACTGAGTATGTTCTTTATTAAACAACTGCACTATCACATGGAACAACAATGGACAGAACAGATATATGATTGACTTGTTCCTACTTTTACACAATATTTCCTAATAGTTCCTAATAATGTTCAAAATGGAGAAAATAGGTGTACGGGTAGAGCATCAATTCTGACAAACTCTTAACTGCCATTAAACTTCCACACTTCATTCTAGAGTGTTTGACCAAGTAATGTATAATCGCTATGTCTAACAATGCTTTGTTGTAATTGAGATATCTTATATTAAATATTTTGCCTTATGGTGCTGAACAGACAAGCTGTCTATCCTGAAGTCAATTTATCACTAAACAATATGAAATGAATTTCCTTCCTCTTTTATGTATCAAACAGGAAATAGACGCTTTCTTAGTTTAGAAAAGATGCATTTCTTTCAGAAGTACAAATGAAAGAAAAGATTTAAATGAACAAATAAGAACGGGAAACAGTCATTTGGTTAAATATCAATCGGACGGAGGGTGACATAGCACAACACGTGACACGTGACATGTTTGCTTTTGAACATTTAATTTATCGCTTCAGAACTTAAATATACTTTAATTGTTGAAAGCATTGTCATTATTTCTTCTAATCTCTTTCAATATGACATCCAAAGCTTGGTATGTGTGCCACTGACTTACAGGCTACTGTTAAACGAAAAAAGAGAATAGGCGAAAACTGCACCAATCAAATTGTAAAACTATTATCTTAAGTAATTACTGCTTGATCTTTCAAACATTAAATCATTTTCAGTTTCAAAATCATTCGATGAAGTCCGTTTGTTTTTATTTTGCTATTAAATATGTTATAAAGTACAACGTGCAAGACAGCGTTTAATATCAACATCACAAAAAATATTGAATATTTTACCTAAAATATGCTAAATAGCCTAGTATATAAGCTTAAAATAAATTTTATTTCTAGTAATACTTAAAAGTTTATGTAATTGTATGCCTTATTGAACTATTCTATTAAAAGCAAAGTTATAAATGCAATTTGAAAGAAAAATAAAATTATCATTTGAGATAACCAAAACTGTAGACAAATAATGCAAAGATATAAAACTATTGTAAATATAATGTTTATTTTCAAACCTTGTTCGTGAGTTTTCAAATATTCCATCATATTTATATTTTGTTGTATTTTGCCAAAGTCGATCAAAATGATTTTGCTTTATAATTCAATATCAAAAAGCATATTTCTATTAAAACTATATCCAGCACTTATCCACTTTCCCTCGTTAGAGACATTGGGTTAACATCTGTGAAGCAGACGACATAAAGAAATAGCTTGATCACACTTTTGTCAACCATTTTATACTAGCTCAATAGAATATCGGAAGCGGTATCGGAGAAACGATACGAGAGAGACATATTGGAGGGTTAATATAAAACAACATGGTTTTTCGCAAGTATCGGGTGACATTTGTCAACGGATATGCCAGATAAAACAAACATACAAATATAGAAAATACGGCTATATAAACAGTATTATTGTAAAAGTAATTAATACATTTAAAAGTTGTTCCCAAATTAATAAAAAGTGATATTTGCAATGAAATATACACCGTCGTCTCTTAACGATTAGACGTGATATATAATTATCAAACTTGTTATTTGATAGCATTAATATATATACTGATTCCGCACATTTCTTTTTAATCCTTAAAGAAAACTGAGCAGTTAACAATATATTCAGACTCTGCAAATGTCTTTAATAAATATATTTCTGATATCTATTAAATTTTTATATGTCAGTGTTGCTATTATCCGTAACATTCACTGAAAAAGAATAAACGATAAATATGGATTTTATCGATACCTTTATAATATTAAACGTTTGATCAAATCACCTTTTCACAATACATGTATAAATAACTTAAAATAATGTATCAAAATCATAATGAGAATAAAAAAATATCATTTACCTTAGCTTTAGGTTATAAAGTCAACACATTACATATGAAATTCAAAATTGTGTTCTGCATGGGTGTAACTTTATTTTTCAGTCTTTATTTCTTGTTCAATAAAGAGAAGACCAATAAAGTTATGATTTCCCGATAAATAGCACGTCTATAATAAAGATATTATTCGTTCTCCAAGGTCATACAATTTGTAAGTTTTTTAAGTATGCAGACAGTTTCACATAATATAATTTTAATGTCCATATTACGCTTCAGTTCACTAAATTGACTATGATTATTTGCTATATCATACAAATATAATTCTTAATGAGAGGTAGAGTTAATATAAAAAATTTGGATATCAAATGCATACCTAAATTGATTTTTTTTTATTTCGAGCGTTAGAGATTTGCAAATTCAATTTCTAAATTTTTTTTTTTTGGCTATGTGTTTTTTTTTAATTTTAACCAAATAAAAGTTCAAAGTTAAGTCAAACTGTGCTATTTTAAAAATGTTCAAAGGGGAAGAAATTCCATAAAAAGCAAGACACACAATGGTACCAGAAACCGATTTCAGGGCTTACATAGTCTAGAATAATGAAGAATAATGACATTTTTTAAACTAAACGCATAAACAAATTTAAACTAGACAAGTGCAAACTTATAAAAACTATTAACAACTAATTCAAGGTATCACCATGAATTTCCAAACTAAGCTGGTTGGTTTCATTTCTTTGTACTAGAACAGTTTGTACCAGACGTTATCATATCACTACTTAAGGTTTCAACTTAAAAATATTGATGAAATTATTTTGTTTAATATTAAATTTCTAAATAAACTACACTTATTTATGTCATTAATGTTTCTATCTAAAAGTTATTTCCATTTCATTTCTAAAAATAAACTTATACTATTTATATTTTCATTTGCAAGTGAGTGACAAAAACTATTTTATGCTTCAGATAATCAAGCCTGAAGTATTTATATGCGGTTGAGCAGAGTGACTCCTGTATTGACAGATGATGAAATGAAAATATTGACATTCATGATACCTAAGGGGCTTTAATAATATGATTGTTCGTGTTAATTTAATTTTGTTGCGGAGAAAATTTATCATTATTTCGTTATTGGGTATGCAATAACAAGCATTAATCATGCAATGTTTACCATAATATTTTACTATTATAGACTAACGATGAATATTAAGTATTGCATCATTCTACGCAGTTTTCGATATATTTGGATGTTTAAAAAAACTATTACATATTATTTTATCTGAGGTTATACAACTTACTCTTTTAATTAAAAACGAGGTACGACTAAACGCAATCTCATTAACTTCGCTTCACTACCCTTCGCTGGGAAGCGAAGAACTACGGAGCAAGCACGATAATCTGATTTAAATGAGATTGGACTAAACACTTCTATAGAAGTTAAACTGTTTTAAAAGCAATTATTTTACCGCGCATTATTTTCACTCTATGCCATCAATTTTTTAACTGTCGGTCAGTTACGTGTAAGATTAGACATGTCTGTGCAATGTAATAAATAACCGCTGTAAGTAGGTGCTCGCCTTGAGCGTTCTTCTCTCTGAAAACAGACTGCACAATTTTTTTTTGAAGAAACTATATTTACTTTCCATCTTTTTTGGGAAGGTACCGAGATGTACAATGTATATATCAGTACTGCCATCGTCGCGTTAAACTGTTGTCTTCTTTTTCGATTGTACGATTGCGATTGTGACTGTGATTGGTCCGTGATAAATAAAATATCATACTTGCATAGCTTCATTACTGAATTTATTGAAGTCTTGACTAAGATGATATACTGTTTTATATACTCGTCAGAGACTGCCATGTTATGATTTTATTCAAGTCGTTCAATACATTCAGTATTATTAACATTTACTCATTCAGTATTCTTTTTTTTATCTCAAAATATAAGATAATTTCTTACCAATGAGAGACTATATGTAAAAGTTTGAAAAAGCTATAATTATACTGTGCTTATAACACGTGGTTTTAGAGCTGTTGTTTAAGATGAACCATTCATCCTTCTTGTCTATAAGTATATCCGTTGTCATGACAACAATTTTTTCTACGTAAATCATATTTCTGTATTTTGTTTGTTTTGTTTTGTCTTGTCTTTATATGCAATTTTCTGCAATGTCATATAAGCTAACAAGTTTGCGTTCTATGCAAAAACGTGAAAATATTCGTGATGTTTTTACCTAATTAGTATACAATTACTGTTTTATATATCATTTAATGATGTGTATTTCACAATACATAACGTGATGTGAAGTTATTCAAGCTATATGCGAGTCTCGCAACTTTTACGACAAAAGCTTCCATTTACCACCCATTTCATCTGCCACACAAACTTATATAAAACTGCGTTAACGAAGAAGAAATATTTAACGGATAAATTCACGTGTGCACGTGCCGTTGTTTGCACTTCTTTTGAAATACGGGACTCAGGGTGTCATGTAACAAAATAGCCGGGGCCTGTTCAATCTTTTGACATGCGGACTAGAACTTTAAATGCGTTCTGTGGTTTCTGTGGTAAATTTACGAAAAAGGTGCATTAATATACTTCAATACTACATTTAATTGTTTGAAGAAAAGAACAAACTTTTTTTCCTGACAATTGAAATAATTTATTTTCATTAAGTTTATACATGTAATAAGAATGCTAAATGTATAAAGACCCCAATACATGACTATCCCAATAGAAGTCTAAATACTCTTTCCTAGAAATAATGGACATCGTATTTTATCAGAGTATTGAATCATGCCAAGATTCCCATTATATTTATCCTTGATTTAGATCCCGATAACCACCGGCTTCTAAATAAATGGTCAATATTCCCTGCCTTACTAGTAACTAAAAAGTGTTAATTATACATTTCTTGTCATTTTAAACATTTACTAATAAATCTTGTTAACTTCGATGCGGTTTTCACTGGAAAAGAATAAACAGGAACTTTGCGGATTGACTTTTTTCTTTCTTTCTTTTTACTGTGTATATCAAAAACATTTAATTACCGCGATCTTTCAAATTTGTAATGGCATATGCATTTTAAATCATAAACAAATAACAAATCTGCCAATATTGTCAATGTTAAATAGCGAAGGACTAAATTATGTTAATCTGTCAAATTTATAGTGTTGAGACAAGTGCTTAGACTTTGTGCTGACCCCCCCCCCACCGCCCCCCCCCGCCCCTTAGAGTAGACGTTTGCAAGAAAGATAACTCTGTTTCAAAAATGTTAATGTTACTGTACGTTTAGGATACTTATTTAGTGACGCGGCGGTCAAGTCCATTATTACGGTGTAAAGCAGTTATCATGTTGAATTTATCGTCTTTTTCAAAATGAATTAAAATATCAACACATTTACCAAGTGTCCACGTAGCGCAGTAGGTAAGGATGTCAGTTAAAGTTATAGTTGAATATCAATGCAAGACAGGTTCGGTTTGCAAACATATTTCTGTATGAAGAATATGTTTTTTACTTATAAGCATTACGTGTGTTGTGCTATTCTTTTATTTACTTCTCATTTCACTGTTTATTTTGGCAATCGTATACGGCATGTTTTAATTATAGTTCAGTTGTCACGAAATACTCAATACTCGTGCATTGCACAAGTACTATGATTTCTAAATACTACACAAAACACAAGATAAAAATATTATTCCCGGTATATTAAAATTATAAGATATTATAACAAAACTAACTTGATATTCAAATTCATTTGCATTTATCATAAAATTGAAGAAAAAATAGGAACAGAAAAGAAGAAAAAATGTTAGACAACTTGTGAGTCTCGAACTCGTGATAAAAATTTAAGTGGCATCGCATATCAACAACTTTACCAACTTTGCCATTAAGATGTTTTAAAACCTACTTCTTATCTTGTATTATATTCAATTCTTAAAAAGCTGTTTTACCTATTCAGACAAAGATTGTAAACTTTTGTGTACACAAAAAGTGCAACGTCACTCTCACATTATCATAGCGGCACAGTAACAGCTGAATTCAGGAACAAGTCCGTTTCCAAAGTTAAAGGCCCATTATGCCTCAGAAATGGTATCATTTTTATTTTTGAAATACTGTTCATTATTTGGCATTTTGTTGCAGTTTCCAAAAATATACTCACTTGCGGTATACAAGATCTATTTATTGCATATTTAGCTCTGTTGGCATTCGGTATAATTATATTGATTAATTATTTTGAATAGAAGTCAAACTATTACTTTGTTTACTTTTTTAAATCATAATGTGCCTTTAATTGGATATATCTCGGTTAACGAGATTCCAACAGTTATGAGCCTGGTCAGACTGTCCGGTCTGCCTGGTCTATACTGATCTCATCACTTCCGACCAAGTTAAGAGTAATGAT